TTCCAAACCATACATGTGCAGCTGTGGATACAAATTTCACTCTGAAAGAATTTGGCAGCCAGCTCTTCATGACTAAGGGCCATGTACTTGGCATCCTGGCAAAAAGGTGTGAGTATAAAAAGGGTCTTGGGCATAATTTTATAATGAAACAAAATGTCTTCACTTAAGCAGGGTCCTTCCACCTGTAGCATGGTGACTGCCTGGTTGCTTTAAAGCTCTGGATGACAGAATCAAAGGAACATTTCTCTGTGGACTAAGCCCACAGCAGTACAAGGATTACGTTGCCAGTAGATGGAGGACAGTGAAAGATTGCGCCAATTACCATCCATATGGCACCTCGGGGTTCCAGTTGATGTATCTGGAGAAGGCAAGCAGGCCAAAACATTCATGAAAACCCTCTGGAGGAAATGAGGACCATTTGCACTCGCACACCGAAGGAAGGACTGGGCAACTTATCAAGCTCCTGCTGACGGGGACTGCTTCTGGAAACTTCCCCTTGCATACCCTGTGGGACCCAAGTGGCAAAAGTGCAGCAAGCCGCCACCTCACATCTGCCTCCGTTCACTGAACACCCTGGGTCCCCCTTCTCTGCAGGTCGCAGCTGAATCTGGAGCCTCACGCTACAGACAAGGGGAGAGGGCTGGGGACACTAAACATACCACGTGCTACGTGGCCTGGAATAACTACCCTAGTGAGTGGTGAGGACAAAGGGGTCCTTAAACACGCTAAGGCAAGCTCCACAAGGGCACGAGGTGTCCACAGGAACCCTGATGGCTCCCTTCACTTGAGTCGTGACCACTTCTTGGTAGCCTTGGGTAACCTCTGTCTCTTTAACCACCATTCGCCTCTAGCCTGTATTATGATTCACATGTAACATGTTTACTCTGCATCTGGCATATTATTGACTCAGCACTTACTGCCAATCTCACTTCCCTCTCCTAACACGGTGACCCCTCCCTTACAGAGCAGGAGACCAAGGCCGGGCAGGTTGGGGAACTCGCCCGAGGTTTCACAGCTAACAAGCGGTGGAGTGGAGATCGGAAGCCAGGCTGTCTCTTAGCACGTACTCTTGATCTCTAGCCTCTATCACCTATAGGTCTTTTTACAGAGCTATGATGAATCAGGGCTCCCCACTGCTCCCTGCCCTGGGGCAGAGGCTGGGAGAGGCCCCTGAAATCTTGACTCCTGTCTGGACTTTGAGAACAGCTGGAAGACTGATCCCACGCTCCACACCTCTCCTGATTTTGCTTTCTTCTTCCCATGCGAATCAGCGGGCTGGCTGGACTTACTGCCGTCTATACCTCCGACTCACTTCGCTCTCCACTAGCCATCCTTTAAGGTCTAGCTGGAATCCCAGCTCCACCAGGAAGCTGTCTTGACTCTCCAGGCTTCACTGATTTCCGTTCTCCAAGAAATTTCCACGGCACTCTCTGGGCCCCTTAACCATATTTGGGGTGCCCCCCACAGCTGGGGACCATTTCATGTGTTTATGTGGGTGTAATCAATGCCCTGGTTGGTCTCCAGAGACGATCTTACACTTCCCTGTGTTTCTCGCGATGCTGAACATACAGCAGGCGCCCAGTAACTGCATGTCCAATTAGCAGATTTTTACAGAGACAGGCGAGAGACCAGGCCAGGATGGAAGGGCTGAAATGAAGTAGGCAGCCTTTGGTTTTTCTGGAGCTTACCTTTTCTCCCACCGCTGAACCTTCCCCACCACCTGCCCGAGAGAGAAAAGGGGAACTCAGCCACAGCTGGGTGGACGGTGGGAAAGGGCCATTCGGGGCGGCTCACGTGTGATCTGAGCTTTTGAAAGATCAGTCACCATGAAGTGCAGTCATTGCTCGCCTTGGCCTGCAAGGCAAGGGGGACGGTGACAGACTGAATCCTGCTGTACACCCGGCCTGGAAGCCCCAGCAGCCTAAACAGTAAGTGAGAACAATCTTCCGTTGGCGGCCAGGCTCGTCCTCTGCAGATCACGTCTTTTTGTTAAAGGAGAGAGAACTTGAAATGAAGAAGGATGAATTGTGAAGACACGAAATCCCAAAGGAAGAGACAAGTGGAGCAGGCAACACAGGGGAGTGGGTGTGGGGTGCTGGGTGGAAACAGGGGAGTGAGGGCGGGAGACGCATCCACGGGAGGGGCCGTCCTGGGCCGGCCCGCACTGCAGCCTGCGCACCTGCACAGATGGCTGAGTCCGCGATGCCAGAGCACCTGGCCCACCTGTCCGCTGAGAGGGGAGGAGAGATCAAGGACAGGAAGGATGAGCAGAGGAGGAGAGAAGGCGGTCCCGAGAAGCCCAGCCGGCAGCACCTCCTAGCATCTACTGCCCCTGCTCCTGGCCCTGCGCGAGGTGCTAAGGAGGAAGCCGGACCAGGGGCCCATCTTCTCCCAGGCCGAGACGTCCGTAAGAAGTCCATGATGAGAAAAAAGGATCACTTTGTAACATTAATTTTTTTATTAAGAAGACAGATATTTTATAGTACTTCTTTTTTTTTCTTTTTTTTTGTAAAAATGGTATACATGAACCAATACAAAATGGGAATGGAACATATGGATATGGAGTTTCATACACCGTAACATCGTTCATGTACACCTCAAAACCAGAACTGCCTAAAGGGAAAAGTCAGACGTTGGTGTGACTAAAGAACAAGCTTATTTGGCATCAATTATACATCCTTCATTATTTTATATTCCTTTAAAAAACACAAAAAACAAGTTTGTTCTTTCTTCACTCTAAAAAAAGTGATCAACCTGTACAAAGTAATACTCAACAATACATTTCAAACAGTGCACTGTATACTTAAGAAAAAAATACATAAACCAATATACAACTAAAATCCATAATTTCCTGTTTTTGCTTTGTTTAATTATTATTATTATCTTTTTTCCAATGCATGGGGCCTACACTTCGCAATCTACCTGAGACGGAAAACACCAATCAAAACACATGAACCTGAGACATGTCAACATTGTAAAAGCCATAGAGTCACGTCAGGAGCACCGCACTACTGTACACTTTTCAAAACGGAAAGACGGGAGGTCCCCAAGATGCGATGCCAATTCAGTGAGCAATGGTAGGGTTTTGTGGGGGGGGGTTTGTTTTTTTGTTTTTTTTTGTTTTTTTTTTTCCTAAAAAGAACAACTGAGAAAAAGCCTTTCAATGACATGCTAAATGGTTCTCACCCTTCGATACGATTATACTATGGTCGGAATGGGTGCTAAGGGCTCGGAATAGAGCTGCACGTTATAAAATTCACTGAAAAGGGGATGTTTGTTGTGGCTTTTTGTCTTGGTTAAGTGCCTAGGGATAGGAGAGGGGAAAACAAAATGCTGCTCAATATGGATTTTCTTTTACATACCAGTCCGTTCCCAAAAGGCCCCCATGTTGCAATGGTTCTATCAAAGGTTAAAATAAAGACAAGAAAAATAAACACGCTTTCAAACAACAAAGAGTTGACACTTTTTTTCCCCTTAAATAAATCAGCGTTAAGTTTTCCACATAATGTAACAATAGTAAAAATGCATCTTGCAAAATCCAAAATTACTCACTGAAAATGTTATATAATATATATTTATATATATATAGATCTATCTGTTTTTTGATGCCATCTTTCCATAGGGACTGTATTCTGGAGTCTGGAGCCTTACCAAAACATACGGTAAGAGTTTAGTTTTCGTCCTTCAGGACTACTTCTAGATTTCCTAGACATTTCAGTGAAAATCCCCACATTTCTTTAAAAAAAGGTAAATGGTAACTTGACTCCTCTACCTCTTCCCAAGGCTCCCCCTCTAAGATATGTTCAAGGTAACTTATTTTAGTAGCTATGCACTATGGCTGCCATCATGCGAGGATCAGTAATTTTTTGGCAGACGGTTCTTAAGGCTGAGGAAAGAGGCCAAGGCTAGTGTATGAAAGGTAAAAAGATAAAAACACTCACATTTGAGTTTTGATTAAGTAACTGAAAAACCCCCACATGCTGTTTTTCCACCTCTGCTCTGACCTTTCGAGAACTGAGATGGACAGCAGACCAGTCTGAGAACAATACTGGCCCTTCTTTTGTATCTCCTGCCTTTGTCAAGCCAAATCTGAAGGAATGAAAGTTTCACACGGATTCGAGTTGGAAATCCCAGCATGACAAATATCTGTAATATACAGTACATGCAGGCCACATCCTACTGCCTTCCTAACTAAGCACAAAGCAAAAAACAAAACGAAACAAAAATAAAACAAAATAAACCCTGTCCCATTCAGTCATTCGCACACGAGACGGACTTGCTTTTTCCTACAAATTAGTGAGAAGTAAGGCCGATTGGGAAAGGTGGATGGAATCATTTGGAACAGAAATAACCAGAGCAGAACTATCTTTCCCCCCTCCCTACTTCCCCTTCTGTGGCAACTCAAATTTGCCCACTTATATAAATGGAACAGACCTCACCTGTCACGTCTGTTTAGGGCACTGAAAGAGGAGGAGCCCTTTCCGCCCCAAACTTTTCTGGACAGCGTGGGGTATCTATACTGAGCCGTCTACAGATACAGAATTAAAGACAGATTCAATCTCATTGTGACACACCTCACTTGCAGATAACCCTGTACAGTAATGTAGTTCCACAGCAAACAGAACAGTTTCTGAATCACAGTCTAAGTTTTCTAGTCTTCACTGCTCTAAGTATTTGAAACATGGGCAGCAGCAAAGAGTTCTCATTGTTTGTTCACCCAAATCTTTACGACAACAGAGAAGAAATGCATTATGGATACACTAAATTCTGAACTATGAAATCTAAACTGTGCTGGTTCTCCTTTTATGAAACTGAATTTTGAACAGAAAGCAGTTACTTCAAAAAATAAACAAAGGAAAGGAAAAACAATAAGAAAATAAGGGGGGGGGGAAGATTCTAAGGAATCCCAGCAGGCAAATTCCAAAATGGGAGATTTTGGAAAAAAAAAAAAAAATCCAAAGTTTTTTGGGAAAAATAAATGCGCACAAAGGAGGGAGGAGAAAAAAAAAAAAAAAGAACACAACCAAGAAACGAAAAACAAGGCACAGAATTTTCTGCAATCTATCCAAACTAAATCCAAGTATCCAAGTTTGACTTGGTAGGAAGAAATAAAAATTGAAAAAACAAACAAACAAAAAAAGAGGTGTCAAACAGCAGAGTGTAATTTTCAAAGAACATTTCTTTCTTTCTTTCTTCTTCTTTTTTTTTTACACAGCAAATCCCAAGCCTTCCCAGTCTCACACCTTTCCACCCATTCGTAAAAAAACACACGAATTTCTCGCAAATTCCAATATCACTGTCTCTTTATCATCTAAATAGGGCCAGTTGGACACCTCATTGAAACAAAAAGGCTGATCTAGATGAAGTACTCTTTCTTTTCTTCGGAGTTGTTCTGTCCTCCTTCTGCATTGATTATAGCTGTGTCTGCGTCTGCTGCGTCATCGGCTCCTTTGGCTTCATGAGTGAAGTATGTACCTGAAAGATGAAGGGGTAAAGCACCGTGACTGTCTGATGGCCTCTGTGTAAAGTGGTACAGAGATGGCAACCTGCTTTACGGCCATCATCAGCCGAGGTGGTGTGCAGGCAGCAGAGGGGAAAAAACAATTGGAAGAAGAGAGCGAGGTGGGTGAGACAAATGGGGATCCGGGGGTTCCAAAGGCACCACTCCAACTGAACCGCTGCGATATAATTCAGCAAATGAGACATTAGAGCCGTGATTATGACCACAGGATGTCAGCAGAAGAAGACGTGAGTGGGAGCTAAAAATGCAGAAAGCTGGAGAGCTGCTGACAGTAAACGCCCAGGACCAATGGCCAGATATGTGCACGGACATGGTTAAAGACCAAAGCAAGGAAGAGCAATTAGCCAATAAATGAATTAGGGCCCTGCTGACGTTCTATTGTCATCTCACATCGTTTATCTGAACCCTCGTCTCCTGTCTTCAGGAAGCACTGTTGCCTGTCCGTAAGTGAAAATGTGCTTCAACTTGCACAAGGAGGTTTGGTTTTCTTCTGCCTTCCATCACAGAGTGGGGCTCCAGATCAAGAAATAATCTGATATTGTAACAGCTGGAATCAAGGCGTGGGATCTGCCTTAAGGAACAAGTGATTCTCGCTCCTGATGTCACTCTAGCCCGGACCCAGATTCATGGATTTGCTAATTGGCATAGCCACTTTATAATGACAATAGACAGAACGTTAACGGAGTTGGTGACACTCTTTATCAGCAAGTCCCAATGGTTTACACGGAGAAAGACAAGGGTTGCACCTCAGTATGAAATACAGGTAGAGCTTCCACTGCCCATCATAACCAAATCACCCTCCTCCCATTAGGTATTGTATTCTCCAAGATTCTTAAGTAAGAAAGGCCGATCTATTTGTTGTATTTTCAAGTTTTCAAAGTGACAAGTCTGAGAAGGCAGGCAGTCAGATGGTTCCCCCACGTCCCTTTCCGCTATAAGAGTATGCCCTCTTCCCCGGGTCCCCTCAGCTGCTGTGCAGACTTTGGCCCTGCTCTCTGGCCAAACAGACTGCCTCCTGGGCGTGGGCAGAGGGTATACAGAGTGCTGGGCCTGTGCAGCACTCACTGAAGGACCCCCAGTACTGAGGGCCCCAAACCATTTTACGCTCGAGACGGGCACTTCGGATTCTAAAGGTGATTGTCAAACACCTCGGACCTCTGTTGCTGTGCTCAGGGGACCCTCCCCAAGCCCGAGTTCTACAATCAAGCAGACTGCCAGTGCCTGGAGTTTATACTATAGGAAAGGCTCGGGAGCCCACTGCACAGCACTTGAGAAAAATACCCAAGAAAGACAAGGGCCGACAAACAAAGGGAAGGATAAATTATGGAGGGGAGAGAAGAGGCTCAGAGCAGCATGGGGCAGAGAGGAGGAGCCTTCCCGAAGATGATTGCCCATCCAGACGGCACAGCTGATAAGTGACATGATTAATGGCAATTTAAATCAATTGCACTCATAATTTTAAAAATACATATTTATGTGGCTTTTAAGGCACATCAAACCAAGAAAGCATCCTAGCTGCTGTGACCAGCTTACCCAGAGTTGGGGGTCGGGGAGCAGGGCTAGTCTACCTGCATCCCGCGAAGCAAAAGGTTATGCAGCTGCTTTTTCCGTTTATCATTTAGGGGTTTGATAAACCACACCTCACACGCCAGCCCCTCCGAATTTTTACTCTATCCCCTAACACACCTATAAAGCCGTTCATTTAGAGAAAAACCCAAATCAAGGAGTGCTACTCATCACCTCGAGTCCTAGTCAGCCACTGCTAAGATTTCTATTTTCTTCTCTCCCAGTTTCAGGAATCAAAGAGGCTGTGTGGCCACAGAAACCAAACTGCCTATCAAGGACAACCTTGCAAAGTCCCCCAAAGGCAGGCGCCGTGGTGATACGAGGCCTCCTGGCTGCCCAAGCGCCTGGCTTACCTTTATGTCTGGCAAAATAGCGCCCCAGGATGATGAGCAAACACAGCATGGCAAACACCACCACGGCCACGACGCCGCCAATCACGGCGTGATCCACTGCCCTGATCGCGCCTTCTTCACCTGCTCGAGAATCTGTTGAAATCAGAAGAGGAATAGGGATGTAGAGGGTATTGTGAGACACCAGTAGCCCTGGCGACACTGCCTCCAGGGTCAGCGGTCACCTTCTTTCTTAATGGAAGAGTCAGAGAGAACAGTCAAGATGGATCAAGTTCCACCGAGGGGACCTGCTCAGTGCTGCATTGATCTGTGCTGCCCTCAAGGCATTTCATTCTAAGCGGCATCGGATACTAACGCATGTAAACAAGCTTAGGGAGCAGGGAGAAAAGAAATAGAGTCTGTCCAGTCCTGACCTGGTCTTGGCATTCCCTCTCTCTGTAACCAGCTGCAGGTCCTATTCAGGAGGCCGACCTAACTACTTAAGGGCGCTCAGAATGGCACCTTCAGGCCATAACGGGAGCTGTGGAGGGCTGGCTGGAGCATCTTTCTAGAGATGCCCAGGGACTTATTCCCTGCCAGGCATTTGCATGGGAAAAGTAAGGAGCTCAAAAGCCCCAGCTGCCTAGAGATAAAACAAGGATTAGGGGACTAGAGGCAAGTGACATACCTGCTACATTTGGGATGTATGAGGGAGTAAGCCTCAGTCTAAAAACCTATTTCAAAAAAGACAGCAAGGAATAATTGTCCGTTGCCACAGATGGTTTTTCTTTTATTTATTTAACACTTCACGATGCAATTAATTTTCCTTTATAAGCAACACTCCCTCGGGATGTCTTCTTTCGACTGGGGAACGACATGTTTGGCTGGGGAACAACTCCAAAGTGAACCCCGAATGAGCTATGGCCATGCAGAATGGATGTATGGCAGTGTAAACAATTTTAATTTAGGAATGTGTCTACATCACCCCTTGCTGAAATCCTAATGGCACCCGAGATTTATAATGTAGTAAAAAACAATTATTCTCCCGTTGATTAATACATTAACATTTTGGAGTGGAAGCTAAACCATTGTCTTTTTTTTTTTTATTGAGTCAAGTATGACACCTCCATTAAAATGATTTACTAGCGGCACCTTACAATTTAAGCACAGCAGCAACAGAAACGGTAAAAAACTTTTAACTTTACATGATTTGTGAAGTCATATGTGAAGGATTTACCATTTAAATCTTTCAGTACAGGAAGCGCACGGCCTATAAATCTGTCCCCGTAGCAGTTGCTGGACGCCTAAGAGAAATGCATTTCACCAGGAAGACGGAGAGTGCAAATTCGAGTCAATTTTTAAGAAAGATTTATCTCTGTCTCTCTCCAAAGAACAGAGCAAATCTCTGAAGCCTCCACCTCTAATAATATTTGAAGTTTATCGATCAAGTGTACAGATCCGTGACAGCTAAAGGTAATGGTGCTCTTTTGAGCCGAAACCTGATACAACGCTCTCAGCAGGAGGGCATGATTTACACTTTCTATCGATATTTCCAATTCTGCTCTGAGATTAAGTACTGAAGGATGTGGGGAAATAACTCGTGACTGAGGGTTCCATGAAAAGTGCTTTAATTAGGAGTTTAAATTAAAAAAATGAAGTATTTAAAATATTTCATTAAGTTACCTTTGAAAGGACGACAAAAAAAAAAAAAAAAATCCCCAATCCAAACCCAAACAGAAGTGCCAAATCAGAGGCAGCAGCAGGTCGCCCAGGACAACAGGGTGAAGGGAGTTTAATTGGAGAATGGAGATGGGTTGGAGGCGGAGTGCACTGCAGCCAATTAGCCCACTCCGTGATGTGTGGCCCCTCCAGCCACATGTCTAACAAGCTCCACTTGAAATGTGGCAGAGTGGCATCTCCCTCCGCAGCCCAACGTGCTGCCTACTGCAGAGGCAACAGCCTCTGTGTCTTGAAAGTCATTTCAACGAGGCAGAACTCTGCTACGGAAACGTTTTTTTTTTTTTTTCTTTTAAGACAACAGAGCTTGTTGAAGGGGAGCGTGCCCTGGAGGGTGCCCCTGCACACGGGGTATCTGCTGGAGGATGGTGCTTTACACGCTGGAGACTCTCACCCCAACTGCACACGTTCAAAATTGCTCAGTGGGAGACCAAAGTCATGGAAAAGCCAGAAAGTTGTGCTTTCCTTAGGGAGCTGTCAAAATAGGGGATCTTGTGGGAATGAGAATTAGCTCATCTCCAATGGCCATGAGCTTCAGACCTATTGAGAGAGATAAGGAGGCTCTTTCAACTAAGGCTCTTTCAACTAACTCCCTGTGTCTTAGAATTGGGTGATGCCAGCTACTGAGCAGCAGGGAAAGTTAGGTACAAGAGGCGAGAGGTGAAGAGAGGTCCCGTCCCAGGCAGATGGAGGGGAGGGAAGCTGCCTCAGCACAGGCTTAACCCACTGGGGAAGCACTCCCCTGTCCTCTGTTACAGGACTGACTTCTCCATGCCTAGGCACAGGAACATTCTAGAAGCCTAGGAAAAGAGAGCCAGGGAGAGAGCAGGGGCGAGGGAGGGAGACAGGGAGGAGAGATGAGGAAGGAGGGGGAAGCTCTGTGATAAAGAAGAACCAACCAACCAACCTCACAGGATACGTATCTGTGGGATTAATTTTTCCAGCCAAAACCATTCTTTTGACCTTTGCTCCCCATGAACTCAGAGCTGAAGAGGTTCAGTGCGGCTCTTTCCTCCCTGCCCTGTGCCCACATTAAATACCTGGGTTCTAGTTATCTTCCCTACCCTCAAGGACATACATATTTTACAGATACTTATTTATAGGGGTAATCTCTCCTGCTATCTTCTGATACTCACTTTGATCAGAAAGTTTACTACCACCAGTTAATCCCCGAGACATCTTCCCTGCCTTCAGTTACTGCAGACGGACCCAGAAGGTAAGTGATGCTGAATTTACAGGGCACAGTGTGGGTTGCAGCTCTGCCCCGCCTCTTCCCACCCCTGGCCCGCCCCGGGGTTTACTGCAGCGGGCACTGATGCAGTCCTGGCCATCCTCCAGCGCCTGGCATGGCCTGGCATCCGCTATGAAGAGTGGCACTGTTGCCAGACTCGTCTCACTCCTTTTTGTGTGTCCACGTGTGGGTTGGGTGGGGAGTTTTTACAGTGCCGTCGATTGGTCCAAGGTGGTGAGGGGTATAGTTGGAGGCTGGTTACCTACCCCTAGATGCTGTGGACTGGTGCCTGGCTCACTGCACAAAGCAGTAACACAAGATTCTACACAGAGAGGCACCGGGCTAAGGGAGTAGGATGCAAACTGGAACCCAGGGTAGTATCAGCCACCAACAGGAGCGCGGCTCTGACAAAGTCCATCGGCTCTGTGGCCTTTCCTGTTCTGCTCACAGAGCAAAAGCTCTGGCCAGTTCCGTGAGCGATTACCTCGAAGACAAAACCCTGGGAAAGTCTATGACTTTCACCATCATCCACAGATCCTTCTCCTCTTGGGGTGCAGACCCTTTCCCTCAGGTCCCATGAACTTGACGGGGGACATCCTCTCCAGATTTCGGGCTGCTTTTCTGAATCAGGCAGAGAAGGAAACCGACAGATTCTACAGCTGTCCTCAGCTTCTACACTGAAAAATAAACACTAGCAACATGCCTGATCCTCAGGCAAGTAGACAGCTCTTTGGCTTAGAGGGAGTGTTTTCCTGTCTCTAAGAGACACGATTGCTCCTCTCAGTAACGGGTGTAACGGTGTTCGTCCTGCTGGGACTTAGCTTTTCCCCGTCACCGCAAAGAGGAAAGCCACATTTTGACTTGGTGTACATTTATGGCACAAAGGTTATTCCAGCCTTGAAGAACCAAGCAAGTTTGGGTGACACATTCCGACTGGACTGTGGAATGCCATCCCGGATCACTTCACACGGGATTTCAAGTAACTGAGGCGTTGTCCTTCCATGAGCCTGATTTTCAGGGGCACTTTGTAGATGCTGGGAAGTGTCAACTCAGAGTTGGGGCACAATCCTTCCTGCCTGCACTGTCCCGTGCTGCAGCCCCGTCTACGGCTCTAAGTGTAACGCGAGACTCTTTAAGGACAGCTCAGTCATGAACTGTTTAGTATTCGTGAGTTAGCTCTTCTTTGGGCAAAAAGCTGGAACAACTTGGCTCCAGGTGAGGGTTTACGGAGCTGCTTGCAGAATGCTAAGTTGGCTACTACTGCTTGGGTCACAGCTTCAACCACATGGGGTTCCCATTAGCATCTTAGAAACCGCCAGGACAAAAAAATTCAAAGACTCTCCCAAGAGTGATGCCCCAATCTGCTCAGTTTTCTTTACTTTGGGCCAGGTGGCCTGGCTTGATCCTTTCCTCGTGGGCAATATGCAAGGGGGAGTTCTAAAGACGCTCGTTCCTTAGGGCCTGACAAGAAAAGTGACGGCTAGTGGAACTTCAGCCTCCTTCCCCTCCCTGCAGGGGCTTCCTTTTCTCTACTTGTTCTTACTCCTCAAATGACTGAGTGCCGGGGCTCCGGCAGTCACGCTGCCTAACAGATCCCGGTTGCTATGGCTACTTTACCACCTGGCACGGGATGCCTGACATAAACTGCCATGTGAATGCCTTAATCATGGATCTGCGGAAAGCCTGGGAGGCTCTGTTGCCCGAGGCAGAGATCCGTGGATAGCTAGGGAATGGCCAGGATGTCCTAGACAAGCTCCTGGCAGACTGCGACGTGGGCAGAGGGGCTGGTGAGCAGACTGCCCGCTGCAGCTGCAGCCGGCCTACCTTCAGCCCAGGCGGACACTCAGATTGCCACCTCGGAGGAGCTGAAGTGTGATACAGTAATACGGTTCAAGCACATGGCGGAGGGCGGGAGGACCACCCAGCCTTGGCTTTCCTTCACCTTTCAACCCACCCTTGGCCTGGGCTGGAAAGCATGCTTAAAAACTTGTGAAGAGCCAGACACTCCCCTTAAATGCACATACTATTTTTCAACAAAGGTTATAAACTACCTGGGGTCTCATCTTCAAAATTAATACCTAAAACATAGGGGAGGTTCTAAGGAGATGGGTCTTCCTATCTCTATTTATTGGACAATTCATATGCTCAACCTTCTGTAATTTCTCTATCGATGAATAGCTGGGAAAAA